GCTTCACAACGATCTCACTAAGAGGTCCTTTGCACCTACGTATGGTACAATCTGTCTACCCTTTTAGATGGTTACTGGTAAATGTTACACCATAGTGCTTTATCCTCATCATTTTCACTTCTCTTCAGCATCTACCTTCATTAAGCATGAAACAAGAGAGACTGCTAGAATGTGAATAACTTAAACGTATTTACTTTTTTTTTTACCTGGAAGGAGCCACCCCTACTAAATTGGGGCCTAATCCTCTAAATAAGGAACGAGGCCCTTCTTTTTCCAAGATCACCCTGAAAGAGAAAAATATTATTTAGAAAGGAATGTCCTTCAAAGTGTGGTATTTTATTTACATAGCAAACTTAGAGTCTAAATCCCTTATGTTTGTACTATAATATGTTACAATGCTCCGGTCAGTTTTCCTCACTTACAAAAATCTGTTTTTCTTAGCATAGCGTAGCATACGTTACTAAAGACTAGTAATAGATTTATTAGTGATAAAAAAAGATCTCCATTCAGATTCTTTCCTGAAAGTTTTAAAGACATATAACAATACAGATTTCTACATTTATTTTCATATGATCATGCTATTCTTATCTTTAATCTCCTCCATTTTACTATCTTTACCAGAAAAATCAATTCCCAGTTAGAAATATAGTTCCCTCCTAGTATTTGAGGTCCTATCCTCGATACTGGACAACTTCCAGTTATTGCAGCATTATCTTATCCAACCATTCCAGTCAAATGCTATAGCAAAAATCTATCACCCTAACATCCTTTAGGGTGCAAAAATGGACGGCCTGCTACCATCTCTCCCTTTACTCAGTTAACATTTACTATGCTGAACATTTACTATATAAAGACTGAGCAGAGTAAGGAGATAGATAAGAGGGTGAGAAATTTCTCTGTCATTGCGAAATCTGTTGTCCAGTTGTGGAAAAAAGAATTATATTGAAACAAATAATTTAACAGATCATATTAATAAGCAAATACTACACAAACTAGATACAGATGCCCAGCAGGGAAAGAAACAGGCATGTCAAAGTCATGGAAGATTTTCTGAGGTGAGTTACTAAATGAAGTTTTGAGTAAGAAGAAATACAGATTGAGGAAGAGCAGGTATTTTAATTCAGAGTTAACAGACTAGGCCAATGGTTCTGAGCATCTATATGCCTAAGAATGATCTCCTGGAGGGCAGCTGTGCAAAATGGTTAATTAAAGGCTTGAATCATGGGGTCAGATTTCTCAATATAAAACCCAATTTTGGAAACCAACTAGCTGTAAGAACATAAAGTAATAACTTTTCTCTTATCCTTATTTTCATCAGTAGTAAATAGAGAAAAACAGTACTTTTCCTGGGGAGGGGGGAGGTATACCGTGATGACTAAGTAAGTTAATACAAAAAGAGCTCACACACAACATTGTAAAATGATTATAAATCAATAAAAAATGTTAAAAAAATGATAGAAAAAAAAAGAGCGCACAGTAAATACTTGATAAATCTTAATAATATTATCGTTATTACTGGAACATTTGTTTAAAATCCAAATTTCTCTGATCCCACCCTCAAAGTACTCTGATTCAATAGCTCAGCAATTTGCATTTTTATCGTGTTGTCAGATGACACAGGTGATACAAGACCATTTTGGTAAAACTACATTAGACAGAAGTAGAATTAAGAGT